ACACTTCGGCTGGATAATTGCACTATCACTTGTCCGTTTATAAATCAGATTTAAACTGGGGAGAAGAAATTCATTAACGGGATCCGCGTCGTATAAGAGTGGGTCACGCTACTCGGCAGTAATCACATCACGTAAATATGGTAAGAAGGAAATCGACTGATAAAAAGAGGCATACACATAAATGGTGTAAGTGGTCATCCTAAATTTTAGAGAAAAGAACGGTATATGCTCATTCTATAAAGATATAGTGCGTTATCTCATAACAGGTGTGACGATTTTCTATGCCACCCATATGTATAAAGGAAGGTATGCGGGGCATATATAAGCGGCATACGCAAAACCTTTCAAGTACATATGGATGATGTAAAATCGCGGCCCTGTGTATTATGAAGTGGTGTTTTTGTCAAAAGCACAACAAACTAAGCTTTTTAGCGTCGATACCGCTGCAAAGGAGGATACCGGGCTTCTTCTCCGAAGGTACCGTCAAGGATAACCAAACGAGGATGCTGAGGCAAGCAAATACAGTGACATTATATATATGGAAATGGACGAAATACAATATTTAAATTGCCGTGAAAAGGTGATAAGAACATGTAACCTCGCACGAGAGGTCACGGGGGCCAGGGGCATGATCGCCCCCGGCTCCTCAAGGGCTCGTAACAAGATCGGTCGAATCTTCCCTTCCCCTCGAGCTCTACGTGGCGACATGATGAGTTATGTGATGGCTACAATTGAAATCCAAGAGGAGGTTAAGATTTTGAAGCATGAAATCGACAAAAAAAAATTTAGGAGCAAATACAACTGAGAAGATGCTAGGGCATAGCACAGTCAGAGGTTGCGCAAAAGTCCAAGATTTTGAAAGAATAAGAGGGTAAACAGACCTTTCAATGCCAAATGAAATCTTCTCAAATCGAAGCACCACTAAAGTCAGAAAACCGAAGAGAAGAAGAAAGAGGTGAAGAACTGGTGCGATAAATCGATCGAGAAATCGCCAAGGAACTGACACGCGCTGAAAATCGGGCAAAAAAAATGCGACGTGAAAAAGCCCTCAAAAACCTAAGTCGGCGCGACTTATATAGGAAGCCGGGCCGAGACAGGAAAGCTCTGTCTCGGCTGAGCGAGACAGACAACTCTGTCTGCTGCCGAGGGAAGACAGAAAGACACTGTCTCGCCGAGGGCGAGACAGAAAACAACTGTCTCGCCCAGCGGAGACAGAAATATGTCTCGGCCCAGCGAGAACAGAAAACTCTGTCCTCGCCGAGCGAGACAGCGTAAACTTTTCTGTTTTTGACTAATGGAACGCAGTGGAATACTGCCAATGGGTACATCGAGTCTAAACGGTATTGCGGCCACCGCTGCCAACAGGAAGTTTCTGGAGAATAATTATAATCTGAATATTCTTAAGGAATAACCTTGAAGGGATTCTCAATGGATATACGCAAATTCCAATGGTAAACGCTGGAATTCAGCAAGAGCAAAGTATCAACCTTCAATTCAAGATCTCGAGCAACGGTCCGCAGCGATACAACGGCGAACGCCGGGAAGAACGTTAGCTATTCTACGAAGAACTTGGATAGACTAAACATGCAGAAGAGGTAAAGTATTGAAGGGCCCATTTACAAGTTCCTTTCATAACGATGCTATTCAGGGCCAATGGGCATTGACAAGGGAATCGTAAGTAAAATCTATCTGATCCAAAGTAATCCCATGTCCTCTATAAAAGAATTGAGTCTGGAATACTTTGGAGGGGGTATCTGTAGGCGTCAAAAAATGGCTAGTAGATATGGCCAAGCATAGAGAGAAGATGCACTCAAAAAAATTCAACAAAGAAAGGATTTCATACTGTTTTGAAAAAAATGCAAAACAAGTATGACTGTCTCGCCAGCGCGGGACAGGTGCTTTGGCTGTCCCGCCAGGCGGACAGTCTTTGGCTGTCCGCCAGCGGGACAGTCTTTGCTGTGCCCGCCACAAGCCGGGACAGTGCTTTGCTGTCAGCGCGCCAAGCGGAGAAACAGTGTTGAATATAGTCAATAACTACATTTTGTAACTGGCCCTACAGCGTAGTCCATTCAACTTGCCAAGGGACGTGGGAGAACATCATGGGGCGAGAAATGGTCACGTGGATAACTGCCAAATAATCTGGAGTTTTGAAAACGTGGAAGAAGCAGGTTACAAGCGAGAAAGCTAGCCATTTTTCGAGAACAAGCATTTACTGTCTCGCAATACCCTCAAGGCGAGGATAGCAAATTTTAGCTGTATCGCTGGTCCCGAGACAGTAAACGCTGTCTCGCCAGCGAGACAGTAAACACTGTTCGCGCGTACTGACTTCTTTCGATTGTTAAGGTTTTTGGCAGTTACAGACCCTTGAGGGTTTTTTTTTTTTATAAATACCCCCCTACGGGTCACTTTCTGACGAGGATTCGAGGCATGTTGTTAGAGCATTCCCCAGAGCAAAGAGAGAGCAGAGATTTGGTTTCTTTTCTTGCAACGCCTTGAAATTAAGGCTTGAGCTTGATTTAAGAAAGAACGACTATCTTTACTTCCGATAAGATATCGTTTCAAATTTCACTTCGATAACGAAGTTAGAATGCATAAGCCCAAGCCCGCCTCTTCACGATCTGTGAATGCGGGCGGGTCGCAGCGACGCAAAGGCGTTCGCGTAAAGGCCGGCAAGTCCCACGAACAACGAGTTAATTATGATAGAACGATTTTCGTGTTTGTTTGTCTCAAGGAGTTGTAATTTTTTTGGAGTTGTGTAGTAAGAGAGTCTTCAATAAAAAGAATTATTCTTTCGAATTTGTTGTAATCGAACAAAGTTATAATGAATTCCACAGCAGCGACTTTTGAACCAAACAGCCCCTCTATTTTCCCCTTGTGCACTTATGATCGCCGAGCCATACGCAAAACCCAACTCAAAATGAACTACTAAGCAATAAGGGTTACGGAATGCCTTGATGTATCCTTTTTTTTTTAGACGGAAAGCATGGAATTTTCGTTAACTACAACCTTCCATTCACTTGGACAGCAAATTGGGATGACCTATTGCTTATCTTAGAATCAGTTCATGGGTTGAAAGGATATATGTGGCACAGTATATTTGCATCTGTATGCTGGAGTCTATGGAGATCAAGAAATAATTCTATTTTTGATCAAAAACAGTTTTCTATCAAGTCCATTATTAACTATGCAATATCGTCATTATATGATCGGACAGGTACTCAAAGTGGATCTACAACACAAAAGATTAAAGCTATGTTGGAGAAAGACCCCATTGGCAGAAGCATTTGATTTATCTGCAAATGTTATGATGTCTTCTTCAGTTTTTGTATATGATCTATTACAAGTTTTGTTATATGTTTTGATTGGGCTATAGAAATATTAGTTTCTTGATACCAAATATATGGCTGGCTTTTGTTCTCTCTTATATCTGTGTCAACGGTGAATGACGGCAATGCCCTCTCTTCACCTTCACGGATGTTGGAGAGAAGAAAGTCATATATCACTAGTATTGAGAAACTAGTCTTTCTATCTTCCAATTCTTGGATACAATTCGTATCGTGTTTTTTTTTATAAAACTTGTTATTTAATACATATGACAGGGTTTATCCCTTGTTTTTTATCAAAAAAAAAAAAGAATTGTCATATCCGAAAGAATTTATAATTTGCTAACGGAAATATATAGACAATAATTTAAAGATCATTTATTTTGTCACGATCTTATATAGTTTTGCACGAGTAAGATAAAAAACAATTCAGTAACAATAAATTTCCTAAAAATTGTTTGATGTACTATTTCACCATTTCCTACATTTTTTAATATTACATAAATAAAACTAATTTGTAGCTTTTCTTAAGTTCATTTCATATCGTGATAGCGTAACATGATATGCTATACTGAAATAGCAAAGCAATTTTAACAAACACCAACAAAAAGTAACATAACTTTGCCAATTACCAAGATAATGCATCTCATTACCCAAAAAAAATAAAAAAATAAAATAAAAATCAAGGTTTTTCTATTTTAAAAAAAATCCAGAGAGAAGATCACAAGTAAAAGGACGATTGTCCGATTGTGGGAGCAAGTGGACGTCGGATTCGTACATCCCAGCCAAAAAGATCCAAACCCGAACCGAACCGTGCTCACCCCTGTCACTCCACCACCCCCTCTCTTATTTGCCGTCCGCGGGCGTTTTCTGTGATTTTCGAAGTGGGCCCCACCTAAAATCATGGTTAAAGCTTTTATAGGTGTGGTAGGTGTGTTGACCCTCGAAAATTTTGGGTAGGTGATCAAAACCGCACCAGAAATAAAACCCATACATCCTCTCCCCGTTCTCTCTCAGCTCTCTCCCTCTCTCTCCTCTCTCTCTCTCTCCTCTCCTCTCCCGCTCTCTCACCAAACCAAAGAACTAGAGAGAGAAAGCAAGAGCCGAGGCGGGAGAGAGGGGGATCCATCAATCGATCTGGACTCGGATCATGCAATCGGAGACGATGAAGCTCTCACCTCTAGATCTGATGACGGCGCTTTTGACCGGAAAGCTCGGCGACGGTGGACTGCCGCCTGAGGCGGCGGCGATCGCGGAGAACCGGGAGCTTCTGATGATCTTGACGACGGCGATCGCGGTTCTGATCGGATGCGCTGTGGTTTTTCTGTGGAAGCGATCGAGCGGGAAGTCGAGCAAGTCGGTGGAGGCTCCGAGGCCGCTCGTGGTGAAGAAGGAGGCGGAGCCTGAGGTTGACGATGGGAAGAAGAAGGTTACGATCTTTTTCGGGACCCAGACTGGGACTGCTGAGGGTTTTGCTAAGGTCAGGGCTTGGATCTCAGGTTTCGCCTTTGAATTCTGGACTGGATTCTAGGTTTTGAACCGGTTTTTGACTTTTGATGTAGGCGCTGGCGGAAGAGGCCAAGGCTAGATACGACAAGGCGGTGTTCAAAGTCGTCGATCTGGTGAGAATCTGAATCATTTGTTGAATGATTCGAGAATTTGAAAAGTTTTGACTGGTTTTGGTTTGTGATAGGATGATTATGCGGCTGATGACGACGAGTACGAGGAGAAGATGAAGAAGGAAAGTCTAGCTCTGTTCTTCATGGCAACGTGAGATCGAATTCACGGCCTAATTTATCAGTCTTGTAATTTGATTTATTGGCCCTTTTTGTTGCTAACTGGAACTTGGGGGAACCTTAGGTACGGAGATGGGGAACCGACTGATAATGCTGCTAGATTCTACAAATGGTTTACTGAGGTAGAAATTTTTTACTTTTGTATATAAAATTTATAATATTTTGAATTTTTTTTACTGGGGTTCTGATGAAAGATTGGGTTTTTAGGGGAAAGAGAGGGAAAAGTGGCTGGACAACCTCCAGTATGCTGTGTTTGGTCTGGGCAACAAGCAGTATGAGCATTTCAATAAGGTAGGGCTGCAATTTGATTGGTATGAATATCTATTGTTGCTGTTATAATGATGATTAATCTTTCTTGCTTACTGATGTTTTGTTTCACATTGTGTTCTTTGGTGATAAAGGTCGCAAAGGTCGTAGATGAGATCCTTGATGAACAGGGTATATGCTTTGAACCCATCATCATCTTTTGTTGCTTTATAAGTGAATAACTCAAAAGGTTCATTAGAGAGTACAGCCTACCGTGTTGTGTAAACTGTTTGTTTCTGCTAGATGCTTTATATGCTTTCTCACTTTGCATTTATCATTTTTCACACGTTCTACCTGTCTGGAATATTTTGAAAGCTGTGTGCTCGAAGCATTTTAGTCTTTTTCTCATTATCTCTTACTATCTCGGAAAAGCCTCTTTTCCTAGGACACTCTTCTGGTCATATGATTTCTTAATTGAAGTAATGATGTATTGCATTGATAATTATATATTTGAACCTCTGTATTTTTAAATAATTGTTGATAAGATGACCTTTTAGTCTATGAAGTGTGGACCAAAATAGCTTGAAATTACTGCCATGAAAATGCACTGGGCAATGGACCTTAAGTGTAATCACAAGTACTTTGCAATGCAAATCAGATGCCAGCTTGAAGGGTGTATTGATTTGATCTGTATGATAACAATAAGGGCATTAGTCGTAGTGCATGCATATCCAGTCATTTACTAGTCTTAGCTTCAGTTGCATATTTAAACTATCAACAGTAGATAATACCAAGGTTCATATTTAATGACTTTGACTAAACTAGCAATCGGTAACTTGCACATTCCATGATATTAAATATTTAAGGTTTGTGTTACATGATAAACGCTTTTAGGTGTTTGGAAAGAAATCTCTTGCCTTATAAAAAACTAAACAATAACTGTGAAGAGTAGTTCTTCGTAAGAGGAGGCCAAATGCAAGGAGTGACTGTATCCTGAATAACATGAGTCATCATGCCAATATGCTAGATTTAATTTTACAGCTGTAAATGATGATCAGCTCCTTCCTGCTTTCCACACTATATGAACAAAAGTCTGGTTATTATACTGAATTTTATGGAACATATCTCGTTCAGTTGTACTTCAGTGTTTGCACTAAAGTACATTGTTTGTTTCAGCGATTCTCAGATTGATCGAAATAAATTTAGTGTCATCATCATGACATTTTTCGGACTCTAAGATGTGAGTGGACTGGTGCTTCTTCTCATGTTTCGTGTTTGGGGGATAAGAAGATAACAAGAGCACATTATTTTTTTACCTTTTTCATGTTTACAGTAAATGCATAATTTACTCGTTACAACCTGTTTTTATGTTTTGTGCCTTTGTTTATTTGACTAAATGGACTAAATTTTTTCTTGTTGCTTTAGGAGCAAAACGTCTTGTCCCAGTGGGGCTCGGGGACGATGACCAGTGCATTGAGGATGATTTCACTGCATGGTAACAAAACATTGACACTGTTGCTACATTGTTAGATGAAAATAACCATTATTGTGATTTTTGCTGTGTCTCATTTTTCTGAGAGATTCCTGGATGAAGTTCTTTTAGAACATTAGCATGGTGAGAAATTATGCAAATAACAAGAGTATAATTTCTTCACAGGAGAGAGCTATTATGGCCAGAATTAGATCAGCTGCTTCGAGATGAAGATGATGCATCAGGTGCATCTACAACTTACAGAGCTGCTGTTCCTGAATACCGTGTTGTGGTCATTGACTCTGCAGCCACATCTCATTTGGAGAAGAACTGGAGTCTTGCAAATGGTCATGCTGTTCATGATATCCACCATCCATGCAGGTATAATAGAAAATGTGTTGCATGTGGGGCATGAGTTAAGCACAACTAACAATAATTTAACACAAAGTTGTTATCTATCAGAGCTAATGTGGCTGTGCGGAAAGAGCTTCATACTCCAGCTTCTGATCGTTCCTGCATTCATCTGGAGTTCGACATTGCTGGGACTGGTCTTCGGTAAGTACTTGTATTTTCTTCTTGTGCATTTTATTTACTTTTTCCAATTTGTTCTGATATTATACTTGTTGTTTTTTCCACCTTGTTTAGATCTGTCACTTATTATTCTGATGAAACTGCTCCACAGTGCGTCTTATTTAATTAGTAGTTTTGTTTGGGGTAATTTAAGAAACTACCATGAGCTTTCACCAATTTTCTCAGAAAACTTCAATATATTTGTTTGTTCCAGAAAACTACAATGATTTTCTTATCCTTCTACGTGATTGGTAAGACTAAGGGCAGACCATTCTGAAAACTAATGTGTGACTCATGTTGAAGTGGAGACAAATAAATTTTGATTATCCATATGATAGCAGTCATATAATATGATGTAACATTCTTTGATACTATGATAGTTCCTTGTGCAAATTTCTGGAACGTGGTTCTTCTTTGTAACATATGTCTGCCCTCGACTATACATGTTGTACTAATACATTATGTGTCATGTCTTAGGCTAGGCTACTGTGGTGACTACATCCTTCATAGAAATATAGTAGTCCCTGATTTTGATATAATGGTATGAATTATGCGATGAGTTCTTTCAAGCACACGCTTCTTTTTTATCTGTAAGATCTAAATTACCTATTCCTCAAAGTTTATCACTGTTCAATATACAAAATTGTACAATGTCTAAGTTGGTTCTTTTATTATGTCTCTACCAATGCTATTCATTATTGCATGGCTGGAAGTATTTAACAAAATTTTAGTTAGATTCATTGTAAACCCCATGTCGCTTACAGTAAAACTTCTCTCTGCCAGATATGAAACGGGAGACCATGTTGGTGTATATTCGGAGAATTCCCTTGAGACCGTAGAGGAGGCTGAAAAGCTATTAGGCCTTCCATCAGACACATTCTTCTCTATTCATGCTGACAATGAAGATGGAACTCCGCTAAGTGGCAGCACTCTGCCACCTCCTTTCCCATCTCCATGCACTTTAAGAACTGCCCTTACACGATATGCTGATCTTTTGAATTCTCCTAAAAAGGCAAGAGCTATTTAGCTTCCTCCTTTTCAAACAATTTAGGCTTAAGCAATCATTTTTTACATTATCAATTTTTCCTGACAACATCCATTATGGGTTTTCAGGCTGCTTTAGTTGCTTTAGCTGCACATGCTTCTGATCCCAACGAAGCGGAAAGATTAAATTTTTTGGCTTCTCCTGCTGGGAAGGTTGTTATTTTCTTTTATTTTTTCGATTGTACTCTAATTCTCTCCCACCTTTGTTGAATGATTGACTGAGTTTTTCACTATTTTTCTGACACAGGATGAATATTCTCAATGGATAGTTGCAAGTCAGAGGAGTCTCTTGGAGGTCATGGCTGAGTTTCCTTCCGTCAAGCCTCCACTAGGAGTTTTCTTTGCAGCAATAGCCCCTCGTTTGCTGCCTAGATATTATTCAATATCATCTTCACCAAGGTGATAAATAGTTAACAATGCATCCTGGTTTTTGCATGTTAATATTTTGCTACACATGCATGAGGTGTATTCTTTGCAGTACAAAATTGATTCAGTTGTGTTTTTTTTGCAGGATGGCACCAACTAGAATTCATGTAACTTGTGCTTTAGTCTATGGACCAACGCCGACAGGAAGGATTCACAAAGGAGTCTGCTCAACCTGGATGAAGGTTTTTCTTGTTCCTTGTCTCAGAGAAGTAGCTTGTTCGATTTTCTCATTTTTAAATCAATTCAAAGATCATGGTCATTCCCCTCCAATCCTCACATGCACACTTCCACCTTTCACTTTCTGTATAGTTCACATTAGTCAGAAATCACTTTCCTTTTCTTTTTCTTGAATCTTCTGTGAAATTTCTGGGAGGCTCGTAGTTCCTTTCACTTTTGATTGACTGAATCAGCTGATTCTCCATGTTTTGCAGTATGTGGGAGCTAGAACTCAATTTCAGAATTTCTTTCACGCTTTTGATGCAGCTAACAATATTGTTTTCTATGCGAGAAAGTTGTAACTGCACGCTCTTTTGCATATTTGTTTAATGCCTGCAACACCTGTTAAGAATTTCTACATTATCAAGGATTTCTTCAATCTTTAGACAACTGCTGCAGCTTGATTTAGCTTCTGTTTATTGATTTTTTCAGTTTTTTTTTAATTTTCAATTGCTGACCAACTCTCTGAATTCATATGAAAAAATAGCAGAATAGTCTAGTAAACGAATATGTTCTTTAGAGACTGTTAAAATTTAAAAGACATAATTCGAACTGATGAAATTTGGATATTGTTTTAATTTAAAACAAGCATTATCTATATAAGTTCTACTACTTATTGTAGTCTTCATATTCGTTAAGGACTGCATTAAGCACGTTATGCTATTAGTTGACCTCTTCTTTTATGAACCTCTGTCTATGGGTGTCTGCATCTCATTTAACCTTATTCTTCAACTTCCATCTACAGCATTCAATTCCTATGGAGATAAGTGAAGAATGCAGCTGGGCTCCTATATTTGTGAGACAGTCGAACTTTAAACTCCCTTCAGATCCCTCCACGCCAATTATTATGATTGGCCCAGGCACGGGGTTGGCACCCTTCAGGGGTTTCTTGCAGGTTTGCTGCTAATGCTGAAACATTCTCTTCTGGCTTTTTTTTGATGAGTGACTTCGTAGTTTGACAAAATTATTTGATATATTGGCATGATTCAGGAAAGGTTGGCACTGAAGGAAGATGGAGCAGAACTTGGCCCTGCCATTCTCTTCTTTGGTTGCAGGAACCGGAAAATGGTATGTGAAAACATGGTATTTTCTTTAGATAAAGCTAATAAAAACATGGTTAATATTACATGTTTATTTCCAAAGCTCTCCATGGTTTTCAAGAGTTGGTTCTAAGATGATGGTAAAACTTGCAGGATTTCATCTATGAGGATGAGCTGAACAATTTCGTTGAGGCAGGGGCTCTTTCTGAACTAATTGTAGCCTTTTCTCGTGAGGGTCCTTCAAAGGAATATGTGCAGCATAAGATGATGGAGAAGGTTTGCTCATAATGAATCAATATTGTTACTTGATAGTACAATAAATCTTCTTAGTTACACTAAAAAGTTATGATTGTTTGCAGGCCTCTGAGCTTTGGAATACCATCTCTAATGGTGGATATCTGTATGTCTGTGGTGATGCTAAAGGCATGGCCAGAGATGTCCACAGAGTTCTTCATACGATAGCTCAAGAACAGGTATGTAGCACTGCCTTGCATGCTGGTTGCTATTCTTTGAGGTTTCAGTAGGCTTTCTTACTCACATATTTGCAGTGGTCTTAGAACCTAAGAGAAACATTTGGTCAGTGTGGTTTTAATCGATAATCTTGATTGTTGAGATTATCAGGTCTAACCCGTTAATGGACTGAGATTTAAGGTTATTGATTGCTCCAACGTATACTCCTTTTCTGGATTACAGTTTCTTCATGAATTATCAGCTTTTAGGCTCGATGATCATTTCTGTCCGTTATTATATCTATAGGGTATTCTGTTTTCAGTTTTTCAATTCCACTTCCTTGTGGTCTGTTGATTCTAATTTTTGAAAAAAGAATTTATTGATGGAGAAGTGATTACACTAGCCTCCTAGAATATTCACATTCTAAAGCTTTACAACACTCTCTTTCAGGAGTCTGATTGTTGATTACTTTGTTTCGTATCCAATCTTTGTAACCCCCCCCACACAAAAAAAAAAAAAAAATTCAATATAGCACCGGCGTGCGTGCATTTTCAGAGGAAAGGAACACACATTTATGCCCTTCTGCATTTCCACTCTCCGCATAATCATTTTAACGTGGTTCCTGGAAAACTAATAACAGATTTCAGCACCATCTGGATTTGAGAAACATATTCCATTTCTTTTTAGATGATATCCTTTCTAATTGGTGACCGATGGTTGATGAATTTTGTTTGAAATGGATGGCAGGGGTCGTTGGATAGCTCAAAGGCTGAGCACATGGTGAAGAGTCTACAGATGGAAGGAAGATACCTGCGTGATGTCTGGTGATATTTTCCACCCTTGAGTTGTGGAAGAAGAACCCCCTTATACAGGTGGGTGACAAGAGGCACCCAAAAAAAAAAAAAAATTAAAAAGTATTAAAAAAAGAAAAGGGAAAACTCTGATAATGTAGTTGGGGGGAAATATTCCAGAACCTCAAATTAGGTTGTGGGTGGAAGGTCACTCTCAAATGTGGC